GTTTAGCCCCTGTAAAAGTTCCGTAACTCTGTGCTTCGGGGGTGGTTCCTGCGGTGGAGACACGCACCAACGGCCCCGGCCCCGTAAAATTACCCCGAAGTTCCTGCGGTGGAAACGGGCCTATACAGGAAACACATCCATGTTCATGCTAATTTTCACTTGCAAAAAAATAGCCCAGTCACCACCTGCCCCAAAACACAGGTGTATTTTTAGGAACACATCTGTGTTTCCAGCAGGGACAGAGCCATGAAACGCAGCGATTTTTACCAAAACATCATTGCGTTTCCTGCTGGGTGACCTGTGTCTAGTTTCCAGCAGCTTATTCAGCACCACACATCAGCGTTTTGTAGTGACTTGTCACTGTTTCAAGCGGCTGTTTAGGCACCACATGTGATTGTTTTGTAGCGACCCAGGGCTGCTTTTCCAGCAGTTTTTTAGGCACCACACATTGGTGTTTTGTGGTGACCCCTCACTGGGTTTCCAGCAGCTGTTGAGGCATCAAATGTGGGTATATCTTGGCGATTTAGCAGATTTTAGGCACCAAACGTGATTGTTTTGGTGCAACCCATGGCTGTTGTTCCAGCATCTCTTGAAGCACAAAACATGGGTGTTTTGTAGCATCCCATCACTGTTTTTCCAGCAGCATTTTTTGCCTCTAAATGTGGATGCTCTTTACCCATGTTAAGCCCCTAAACATGGGTATTTTTTGGGAACTCGTCACTGTCTTTTCAGCAGGGATTGTGCCCCTAAAACCAGGTATTTTAAGCAAAGATATGATCTTTTCCTAACAATAACCAAATGTTAAGCACAGCATGTTGAAACGTAAAGTTGAATGTATCCACTAACATGCAGATGTAATGCATTTCTTCTAGTAAAACTAAATCTGAATCTCATATTGGTTCCCTCTCTTCTGCTCTCTGATCTTCGCTGTGTGTTTTGTCAGAAAGCAGAAGGTGGTAAACAAAGTTCAGCTGTCACGTGTTCCACTCAGGCCTCCATGTAGAACAAGTGCTTGATCTATAATGGATGCTCAGTAGAAAAACTTTAACCAGCAGCAAACTTCCTCCCAAACTGCAGCGGAGATGCTCCGCCTGCAGGGCCTTTAATCCAGCAGAACGCTCTGGATTCACTAAAAAACACAGGAAGGTTCATTATGGATTCTGTTTGAAGTGATGCAGAGCGAAGCCTGCGAGCAGAGCCCGGCTCCTGCTGAGTCAGATCAGACTGTTCAACACTGAAACTGACGCAGAAAAACATGGGGAGCTGCTTCAGATCCAGACCTGACTGAGGTCCATGTATTTCAGTGAAGGTATCTGGAGTCAGTGTTGTCCTCCCCGAACACATCACTGTTTTATTCCTCCTCTCCTTTTTCAATCCCTCATTTCAGCTTAAAGAAGCCGACCTACAGGAAGCTACAAGGGTCAAATAACTGCACAGTGGGATCGAACTTCACTGGTGTGCTTCATCAAAATCACGTTTAAAGAAGATAAACATTCCTCTTATGTTTTATACGTCCTCACGGAGGGGATGGCAACTGTTCATCGGTTAACTGCTGAGAATATTCTTCATCAGTTGTGTGTCAGTCTCCAGGTTTATCTTGCTACTCTTAATAATGTAAAATATGTCTTCATAGAAGTTGTGATAGTTACCTAACATAATAAAGATGGTCTTCTATCTGCTCAGAGCTCCGTTAGAGTGTGTTATAAACATGTATTTATTGTTCATACACTGATTATAATGCTGAATATTAATATGATGCTGTTTTATATCAAATCAAAACAAACTATTCTACAATTTGAAAAAGTGACATGAGACATAAAGTTGACAGTGTTGGTTTCACGGCAGGTTTACACACTCGAGTCACTTCACCTCCTTCCTTCCTTCCTTCCTCACTCACTTCTCTCCTTCCTCTCCTCACGCTGTGAATAAATCACCGCCACATGTTTCTATTGATAAAGCTTCTTGGAGGCGTGTCGCTGCAGTCTGATACGAGAACTAGCAACAAATGTTTGAATCACAGGGTAAAGACTTCCACGTTTCACACTGTTACATCACCATAACAAAACTAAAACATTTTCTGTTTGTAAAAGTGAAAAACAGAAACTCTGGAAGTCTGAACGAAGGACGGAGACCAACTGACTGAAATGAGAAACACGCCGTAGAGTTGTAAACAATCTGCATCAGACAAACACGGCAGGATAAAAAACTCAGACTGCATTCAAAACCGCCGACTGTCGAAACAGTACGTGCTGATTTCGCCAAAATGTAGCATGTAGTCAAACAGAAGGAAAATCTCATCAAACCAGTCTACCTCAGCAACTGTATCCCACAATGCAAAGATGTTTTTCCTGATTGAATCTTGTGTAAGTGAGCGATCTGTACCTACATCTGTCCTCCACCCACACAGGCAGGCTGTGAAACATCACATTTGGCACTGATGGAGGTTTATATTATATTATACATATATTATACATAACGGGTCGCTGCACATTTGGCCTCTGATCAATAACTTTCGCCTTTAGTTGGACATTTGTCGCAGCTGGTTAGCACAACAAGCCAAAGTTCTACCGAAGTATCTAAGTACTGTTTTAACTGGCATTAAAGGTTAAAGACGACCCTGAACTTTATCCAGTGAATTCTCGGTCAGCTGCACAGACATGGTGCTACGACGTCCTTTATTTACTCCGCCTTTCCATTTTTACACAGAACCAAACGACAGCGGCATCATGCTGATTTCAGACTGCATGCTGACATAGCGGAATCAAAAGAGGCGTGACATTAAACACAACAGCGTCAGCCTCCAGTGTGACATATAACCTGTGTGTCAGCAGCAGCGCTTGTAAACAATAACAATGACATCACATGTCAATAACAATCATTTAGCATCCCTGTTATATGGCTCCTGGACCTCACTGTTGTGCTTTTTTGAATTAGCTTCTAACTGCTAACAGTTGCTCCTCTTCTTCTTTGAGTTAGCTCCTAACTGCTAACAGTTGTTCTTCTTCTTTGAGTTAGCTGCTAACTGCTAACAGTTGCTCTTCTTCTTTGAGTTAGCTGCTAACGGCTAACAGTTGCTCTTCTTCTTTGAGTTAGCTGCTAACAGTTGCTCTTCTGCTTCTTTGAGTTAGCTGCTAACTGCTAGCATCAGTACCAAGAGTCACCAATTCAGTATCTGACCAAATGTCTCCCCTTCTGTTCCTGAGATATGACGTTAAAACATGATGATGTCACAGTCAAGCTGACCTTTGACCTTTTGACCTTCATTATTTTATCCTGTTAGACATTTGTGTCAAGTTTTGTCAGAATTAGTGAATGAATTCCTGAGTTATGACCAAAAACATGTTTTGTGAGGTCACACTGACCTTTGACTAGTTCATCGTTGAGTCCAAGTGGACGTTTGTGCCAAACATGTTCTTGACATATCACAGTCACGAGAATGCTAAAGAAAAGGTCACAGTGCCATTGACATTCAAAATCTAATCAGTTCATTGTCAAGTCTGAGTAACGTTTGTGCCAAATTTGAAAAATATCCCTCAAGGTGTTTTTTAATTATCACATTCTCAAAAATAAGAAGGATGCAAGTTCAGAGTGACCTTGGCCTTCGACCACCAAGTTCTGATCAGTTCATTGTTGAATCCAAGTAAACGTTTGTGCCAGATTTGAAGAAATTCCATCCAGGCATTCTTGAGATATTGCATTCACGAGAATGAGACAGATTAATTCATAGTGACCTATGACCACCAAAATTAGTGAGTCCAAGTGAACGTTTGTGCCAAATTTAAGAAAACTTCCTATAGGACTTGTTAAGATATCATTTTCAGGAGAATAAGATGGATGCAAGGTCACAGACCTTTAAAACATAATCAGTTTATTATTAAGTCCAAGTGAACATTTGTGCCAAATTTGAAAAAAAACCAAACACCCTCAAGGTGTTTTTTTAAATATCACTTTCACAAGAATGAGACAGATTTAGCCGTTTGTGCCAAATTTGAGGTAATTCCTTTGAGGCGTTCTTGAGATATTATGTTTACAAGGATGAGACAGACGTACGGACAACCCAAAAACATAATGCCTCTGCTCTGGCGTTAGCCGCAGCCGGAGGCATTATGTTGAGAAGGAGCTAATGTGTAGAATAAAGAGGGAACATCAGATCTAATCAGACAAACCTCAGCAATCACCAAGTCAACAATCCATTTCCTGCAACTTTCAGGAATATTTAGTGTGCACTGTAGGCCATTGTGAAAAATGGCTGCCATGTCCCTCAGGGGCCAAATTTACACTGCCCCGATAATCTGTGTCTGAAACTGTTCTGAATATCTTACCTCGTTGCTCCAACAATAACAAAGCCTTAACATTGCAGTTAGCCCGCTAAGCTAACATTTGATATGATAAAGACAGCGACATTAACCTCAGCGAGCTGTAAACAAGAAAACAACTCAACAAACATAAATTAATTAGGTGAACTGATCAAGTTATATTTGTGTCATCAGGGACAGAGGCAGTGATTTGCTGGTCAATAACGGCGACCGGCTGCGTATCATGCTAATGTGAAAAGACGGCTTTTTTCATCCATGTCTGATGCTGGAAGTCACTGACCAAGCAGTGCATTTTGACAACTTCAGAGTGAGGCCAGGTTGTCATGGTTCACAGAAAGGTATAGCGCCAACATTTTCTTCGGGCGACTGGGCTCATTTTTCACCCGCGAAAATTAGCATTAGCATTTAAGAGTTAACCATAAACTATAACTTTACTGTGTTGACCAAGCTAGCAGCTAGCATCAGGGTTAGCGCCACCCTCTTGTCCAAATATGGTCACTTCCAGCTCCAAAAAAATCGTGGTGGTAACATTTAGAATAACAAATTCAAGGCTTCAAAATGGCCGACTACAAACCAACAGGTGACATCACAGCAGTTACGTCCGTTATTTTACAGTCAATGTTTTTATAAAGACTCGTGACCACAGTTTGAGGTGTGACCTCTGAGGGTCCTGAGCTGACTCACCTGTACACGGCTGGGTAGGGCGGGGCATACAGGTACCTGTCCTCCAGAGCCCCGCCCCCCCAGCACAGCAGGTAGCTGGCCATGTTGGTGTGGCCCCGCCCACTCTCACGCTGTCACCCTGTGATGTCACAGAGAGAGAGAGCCACCGCCAATCAGCCCACATCCACAACATCGAGAGAGGGAGGAGACGTCACCGAGGGAAACTGAGCAACGTCATCCACACGTTAATCCGATGATGTCATAACGACATGACTCTTCATCGTCTGTTTCCTGTCAGTCTGTCCGTCTGTCTCATTCAGAGTGTTTCCCTCCGCCAGCAGCAGCACCGTCTCCTCCTCTGATCCGTCTGCTTTTAGTCCTCCTCCTTCGTCTGCTTCACTTTGCCTCCTCGCTGCTCCGTCAGCTCCTTCCTCCTCCTCTTCCTCTCTGTTTCTTCCACACTTTAAAAAACCTCCACGCCGGCTTTTTCTCTCAACAACTTCACTGCACAACTTTCTCTCTGTCTCGTCACAGTCAGAGCGTCTCCTCCCTCCACTCTCGTCCATCAGCTGCTTATTTTCCCTCCACTGAGGGGGGAGGAAGAGGAGGAGGAGGAGGAGGAGGTATGTGTTTCCTCCCCCGTTTGACCCGGGACGCCCCTCCTCCTCCCTCTGTCCTCTCCTTCCCCTCTTTGTCTCCTCTTACCTTCCTTTCACTCCATCGACCTTCCTGGAAGTTTGTGTCTGACACTTTTCCAGCAGCTCCATGAACCTCAGCTCTGCTCCGTCAGACATGGAGTTTGACTCAGCGTGACATCAACAGAGGAAACACGCCGCAGCTTCTACGACTCAAACAACGTGAAATAATTAAGTAATAAAAACTGAACTGAAAAAAGGTTAGCTCCTTCTCAAGTTTAAAAAGAAAAACTTATTTTACCTTGTTTTTATGTGTATTTTTGTTTCTTTATGAAACTACTGCATCTTATAGTAAAAATAAAAGTGCTATAAAATTTTTATTATTATATAAAATGAAATGCAAATGACGTCCAAATGTTTCAGATTTGTCTTTTTATTTATGTGTTAAGAAAATAATTTTTTTCTGACCATTTTACAAGTTTGTACTTAAAAAAATGCAAAAAATTAAAAACAAATAAGAAGAGACTTTTTTATTCTAATATTTTTTCAAAGAAATGTTTGTTTTTTTAAACTAAGATACCTGAGTTTCATTTTAAAATAATTCACCATAATTTAATTTTTTTTTAAAAAAATGACCGAAACTAAACTTTCCAAAATAAAAGTCTTGTTATTCACATTTTTCTTTTTCTAAAGAGCACATTTTATTGTGTATTTTGGTAGGAAATTTTCTATACAAACCCCTATTTATTTTTACTTATTAATTATTTTTCAAAAATACAAACGTTGTTCAAATGTTTTTGTTTTGTTTTGTTTTTTATTAACAGGGAAAAGATAATTAATTTTGGCATTTCCCCTGACCATTAACAAAGACCTGTATATATTTTGTTTCATTATAACAATATTAAAGAAAAATAACTAAAATATCTAATACCTAAAATAATTCTACCTGATTTAGATTTTAACAAAAACTGAAAACTCTGTTTACAGACTGGATAAAAATAATTGATGTAGCCATAGTGATGTCTCCTTCTGGTTTGTGGACTCATCTTTGAGTTTGGCATTGCGGCCGTCACCATCTTGATTTATTTTTGGCTGGAATTTTTAGATTTGGTCAAGAGGGTGGAGCTAACGGTAATGCTAGCCTGTTACATGCATTATCTGTTTTCAAAATACACTTCTGTTTTCACAGGAAATGTTCAATTTGCATACAGTCTCTTTCAAAATAAAAGCACTATGCTGGTACAACACCGTGGATTGACATTTTTTTCCTTCAAAAATAAACGCACATGATTGAGTTCAGGAAAAAAGAACAGGGTTTGGCTTTACAATCTTACAGGAAGTGAACACCAACCTCTTGGGTGAAGGTCGGTGGTTGCTGGACCCATCCACCTCCCCTCCCATCTGCCCTACTTGGACTTCCACCACCTTAACATTCCTTGTTGTCTCGCCATGTTGACATGGATGCTGCAATAACAGCGACCGGCCGCGTATCATGCTCACGTAAAAGGACGGCTTTATTTGTCAGTGTGTGACGGCAGAAGTCACTGACCAAGCGCCAGTATTTAACAACTTTGAAGTGAGACCAGGTTGGTTGTTGTGTCTCTGTCAGCTTCTCAGTCACCAAGCCTGGGTGTTTGGCAGCAACCCATCGGCGGGGATAGTGTCATTTTTTGCTAAGACATCTCTGCTGCTCCAGTGGGGACTGGGCCCACAAAACCAGGTATTTTAAAACACAATATATTCTAAACCATGAACGAGTGGGTTTTGTGCCTAAAGATAAACACGTTACCCAAAACATAAAGTATCTGCTACAGAATAAAGTACAAAGATAACGTGTCCTTAATGAAATGTGAGGTACATAAAAATTCAGCCTCATACAACTGTCATCAATGTTGAAATGAGCTCTACAGACCAAACAGGCTGTAAACGTGTGTTTCTACATGTTAACACGAGGGTCTGTGGGGACTGACTCCCTGTTGGAGTCAGCCTCAAGTGGACATTAGAGGAACTGCAGGTTTTGGCACAACTGAACTGACCTTTACAAAATAAAAGTCCTGTTGCTAATAACACCATTCAGACACTGCAGGAAGGTCTGCATGCTTCAGTTCCTGAAGCAGCACTTTCACCGACAGCTGAGTGAGAGCAGGTCAAAGGTCACAGCACCCAGACAGCAGATGGAAAGGATCAACACAGAGAGGAGGAGGAGGAGGAGGAGGAGGAGGAGGAGGAGGAGGAGGTTTCAGTGAAAACATTTGAGAGTGTGTTTTCTGACAGGAGTGGGAGGTCTTTCTCTCCCGCCCGTCTCTGAGCTGGCTGAATGAATCCATCTGGAATTTCCCTCTATAGACTGATAAAACTGTGTGTGTGTGTGTGTGTGTGTGTGTGTGTGTGTTGTTTGGGTGTGATCACGTTTGAATTCTCTGCTTTCAGGAAACTCTCTCTGCGGTTTGATTTGTTTTCAACTGGGAACAATAAAGTTTGTGTTTGAATTTGAATTCTGTGTGTGTGTGTGTGTGTGTGTGTGTGTGTGTGTGTGTGTGTGTGTGTGTGTGTGTCCACACCCAGTGGAGGGAGGCCAAATGAAAACAGTGAACTCCTCCAGACTGAGACTCTGAACCCTCCCAGCAGCAGCAGCTTCGCTCTCTTCACTTCATTCCTCAAATATCCGAGTGACTCTCTGTGACTGTTCTCAGGTACATGTCAGAGGTTCTTTCCTCCAGTATTTCCTTTTTCTGATACTCTTTACATTTATCTGACAGCTTTAGTTCCTTTACAGATTCAGATTATTGATCCATGCTGTTGTACAAGAATGAACAGGCCCTCACACCCTCTGACCAACAGGGGTGCAGACAGGACGCCAGTGGCCGTGGCTGTGTGTTGCCGCAACAGCTTGACACTGTGTGCACGACTGAAGGCCTACGCTGCTGTGAGCATTTATACCTGTGCGGTGGTGTGTCTGTGTCACTCTGCAGTTACACCTCCAAAACACTAGTCAGCGGTGGGGTTTCTGTGAAGTGCTGGAAAGTTTAGTTGATTCAAAACACACACTAAACACACATTAAACACACACTAAACACACATTAAACACACTAAACACACATTAAACAAACATTAAACACACATTAAACAAACATTAAACACACATTAAACAAACATTAAACACACATTAAACACACACCAAACACACATTAAACGCACATTAAACACACATCAAAGACACATTAAACACACATTAAACAAACATTAAACACACATTAAACAAACATTAAACACATTAAACACACATTAAACATGGCTTAATAGAGACAGTGTCAAACACAAATCAGCTTCACTATAACTCGCAGCATTCACAGACAAACACTTGTCTTTATCTGGACACATTTTCCCCACAAATACAACATGCTAACATTATTAGCACAAGCCTATGGCATTTTACATTGTATACATTAGCCTAGCAGCTAGCAGAGATTTCCTCTGTTCATATTTCAGCCAGGATAAATCACACACAGTGTGTGGAGGCTTTATTGTCTTCATTATTTATTGTTTCTTATCTGTGAAATTAAAGTAAATCAAAGCTTTGTTTCCACTGAGGGAAATGGTGTCAGCTCTATGTCTACACAGAGCCTACGCCATAGGTGCGGCGTTGATTCGACGCAGAGGTATAAATCCCCCCATTAGAGCCTGTGTCCACATCGTGTTTTTGTCCCAGCACCGGCCTCTTTTCTAAATCATTCCCAACTTCTGTTGTCAGCAGGTGGCGCTATGAGTCAGTGTGGTCTGTGGATGTCTTCAGGTCTGCACTCTCATCCAGCATGTGAAGACTGGGGCAGATCCAAAACGCACAAACTACAAAATTTTGCGTCGTCAAGGTCTTGAAGTCTTTTTGCCCAAATTTGAGGAGGATGTTGTCAACGTGGTAGAAGCACGACATGAAAGTATAAAATGTGATTTCCTGTTGCCGACTGAATATTGCCACATAGACGTCCTCAGGCCGGGACTCTTATCAAACCTGTGCAGTTTGGGGCAGACTGGGCAGATCTACCACGGAATTACAAACCACTGTTTTGACTGGAAATTTGACGCCTTGCCACGGTGACGACATTTGATGAAAACTCAAAAGCTTCGCAAATAAACAGGTCTTTAGATCGTGCTGCCCAAATTTGAAGTTAATTCGGTAAAATCTGTACAAGGAGTTTGTTAAAGTACAACGCCTGGAAATGGTACAAAATGTCACAAAAATGAAATTCATTCAAAATGGCTGACTTCCTGTTGGGTTCAGGGCATGGCTCCAGCGTTGGGATGTTACATGTGCCTCCAGTTTTACCACACCTCTGGGTGAAACCTACCGCGGTGGCTGTGTTATTTTTCTAGGGGGCGCTACTGAGACATTTCGTCACACTCACACAAAACCCAGAAGATAATCAGTGTTTCCACACATTCATTTATTGGCGACACCACAGTTACAACATCGACTGCCACGTACTGATGTTTGATTTTTGGAGCTGGACCGTTCACGAGTGACGCTGGAACATAGTTTGGCTCTTCATTGCTTCAGAGCAGCTCTGGGCACAGCTGAGCATCAGGCGCAGTCAAAGTCAAACTTAACCGTTCATCGCGATGAACGACTCAAAACTCCACAAACCTCAGAACTTGGATTATTTATTATGTATTACTCGACTTCTGTGGGAAACACTCAAATATGGAAATTTTCACCACTTACGAGTCACGTGTGAAGATCAGCTTCTCTTCCTGAAAGTACAATAAACAAAGATAATACTACAGTCCTCACAGCAGCCGGTGCTCAGGCCCTGAACATATTTGATGCTGCAGAATGAGTTTAGACTCTTTTTGTGTTTGTAAACAGTAATGACATATTTTGTGGGCGGAGCCTAACTGGTGGCAGAAAGTGACAGTAGTGGTGTCGGTAT